CATTATATCAAAGAAGACATTTGGTATTTGTTTTTTAAGGATTGACTAGCTTCACTAAGCATAATCTGCTCTAGTGCCATCCATTTCCCTGCAAATTCTATGATTTTGTCATTTTTTATTGCTGCATAGTACTCCATTTTTTTTTTTTTTAAAAACAAGAACTTCTAGCCTTATAGGACCCAGAAGAAGTCATGGAGAGCTTCTTGCTTGCCCTCTTCCATAGTGAAGCTCAGAGAAACTAACCGAGTCACACAGATGGTCACACAGATGGTCAGTGGCAAAGTGGGGAGGGGATATCCAGTATTGAGATTCTTATAAAACCAGTCCATTGGTTTGGCCATATGAATAGAAACTCAACTGTGTTGGGGGGAAAAGACTAACCTTGGCAGTTTGTGTATATGCAACAGCCCTGTGTTCCTCATCAGTTAAAAATGAACATCCAACAACTGGCTGCAGAGTACAGACAAGGAGTGCCTTAGGAAAGTAAGTAAAAGGGATCCAAGAGCTGCGTGAACAGAGGGCTGAAAGGGTTTGCTGAAAAGTGCGAGTTGGAGGTGTTAAAGTAATTTCAGCCAATGTTAGCATCTAGATGCTGACAAATAAAATTTATAAATGACTTTTAAAACTGCTTCCTCTAGCAACAAGAGCTGTTATTGTCACATTGATTTTGAAATTAAATGTTATGGAATTTTCTTGCTTTAATGAGAAGGCAGATACAGCTGGTAAACAAAGTAATGATTAAAGCAATTAAAAGAGTAAAAATGAGAAATAAAGTAACAATACTCCTAATCCTTAACCCAAATAGGCAGGTTTGACTGATATACTTTTTAAAAAAAGATGCATGTTTATCTCAGGGTAAAAATATTGAGAAGCAATGCTCACTACAAATAAGCCTGCCCTTTGGTAAGAAGGGAAAAGTCAATTAGTCATGTCAGTCGTTTAAAAATCTGCCCACACCTGGTTCTCATTTGTCCTACAGCCTAGAAACCAAAGACAACTTTTTATTGCTTGTGGTCAAACAGCAAGTTCATTTCACCATGGGATGATCAAACAGCCAGCCTCCCCCAGCCTGAGAAGTTTGCCTTTCACTTTCAACTTGTTCAATCATCATTAACTCTGAAAATTGTCACATTCCATTTGTGCAATGAAAATTTCACCACAGTGACCGTTTGGGTGAAGTTTTTGTAGGCGAGGCCCTAAATCTTATAGAGCACCTCACACCTTCTCAAGGTCATTTGACTCGTTTCCTTGTTTGATGACAGTTGCCTGCCATTCTGGAGTCAGTCTGGGACCAGAAATTGGTAACTTTGAAGAAACCTTTCTGTGTGGGTGTTATCCTCTCTGAGACTGGGTGATTTGACACCAAGTTATTAGAAAGATTGAGGCCTATGCATACATGCATACCCGACACATTTGTTACATATTTATGGGTACATACACTGGAATTTTTTTTTTGTATCAGGGATTGAACACAGGGGCATTTAACCTCTGAACCACATCCCACCTTTTTTTGTTTTTTATTTAGAGACAGGGTCTCTAAGATGTTTAGGGCCTTGCTAAGTTGCTGAAGTTGGTTTTGAATTCGTGATCCTTCTGCCTCAGCTTCTCGAGCTGCTGGGATTACAGGCATACACTGGAATTTTTATCAAGTGAAAATAAAAGTCTTCACTGGAGAGGGACCAGTAAAGAAGACCTCTGGATGCAATCCATTTAAAAGCAGGATTTCCTCACTCTGGGAAGCCAGCTGCCCTAGAGAGGCTGCAATATCGAATTGGGAAGATTCCAAGAAGCTGCTGGAAAGGAGAAATAGACTTCTTTTTACTTTTGCCATTGGGCTTAAGAAATTATCACCCTATTTGTTTATTATTATTCAATTACATTTCCCCTCTGCAGAAGGGGTTCTGAAATGTTAACTCCCAGTGAATCTGGCATGGGGTCAAATTCCTGATGGAAAATTTACAAATATGAATTTCTGAAAGTGGATGTCAAGTGGCAAGATGGCTAAATTTAGAGGTCATTTGATCCAGCATTTGCTGGAGCAAGTCAAATAAATTTTACGCTGTTTGGCAAGTAAGTCATAGCTAAAACAAGCCCCAGTTGCAAATCCTGATTAAAATTTCAAGGTCAAAACCAAGAGATGTATACACAGAGCTCTCTAGAGCTTTTCAGGTGCCTTGGTGCCAATACACTTATTTAGTGGTCTCTAAGAATGGCTTCTTGATCTCTAGTTCTAGTTCTAGTTCTAATTTCAGGGGTTCACTGGGTTAGCTGCTGAAATAATATTATGAGCTCGTCTAGATCACAGACACAATGTCTTAACCCCTTTCAGCTAGCTCTGCCTCACAATGCACTAAAATATTTATTATTGCTAATATCCAGCCTTTAATTTACTACCTGAATTTGGGGGTAGGAGGGAGGGCAGAAATAGTATATATTTTTTTTCTACTTCTCTGATTAAATTCAGATCAGACCTTCAAGAATAGTCCTGTGCCTCCAAAAACACAGAAAAGAATGTCTTGTCATTTTAATGGCTGCTGGGTTGATAGCATCACTTTTAAGAAAAGCAATTCCAATACTAGGTTATTAGCTGAAAAAAGCTTATGCATGATATCCCAGAAAGAATATTTTTATTCAAACACTTGAATATGTGTCCTGAGTTATTAAATGTTTTATACATATTAGCTCCTTTCATTCTTATGGCAAATACAAGGGATATGGTAAGTTACCCAAGGCCATAGAACCCAGGAAGTGTGGGTCTAACTCCATTGTAAATGTAGCTATATTTTCTCCTGAAGACCTGTTGGGCTATGCAACCTGAATGCCCATTTATCTATTGCTCCATGTTGGTCAGAGGGTGTGCACAGAGGTGTTCAATTTGTTTGTTCCACTTCATAGGTATTGAAAAATGGAGACCACTAATTTCCTCTATTTTTGGGTCCACTTTTGTGGAGGTCACCCTTCTACTGCTGGATCCCAGTAGAATGAGCTGACAAGTTGTCCCTCCCTGTCTGCTTCTCTCTCTCTCTCTCTCTCTCTCTCTCTCTCTCTCTCACACACACACACACACACACACACTCACACAGAGCTATTACTGTGCTTCAGTGAAGCTGTACTGGGTTTGTGATCCAGGCATAAAAGCAGACATCATTTGCTCATTAGAGCTAAGTTTTCAGGACGTGCCCCACTTACTGACCTCCACTAACGGCCTGGGTTTGCGCTCGACTGCAAACCTGAAGTGGCAGAGTTCACAGTAGCTGGTGTTTGAGGACGACAGCCAGTGCTCCAGGCAGCTCCGATGAATTGTCCCCAAGGTCCCTGTACATTCACATGGAGAGAGCAAGTCTTCTTGGCTGCTGCCCTCATGGCAGATCCTGCACATTGGCCGGTCATTGAAGGGGCTGCAAGAGAAGGAGGGGCACTTGCTGGTCACTGGGCTGTGACCCACTGCCATGTGGATGGCCTCTAGCTCTGTGTTGTTTGGGCCCTCCCCAGTGGCATCTGCTCAAAACAGATACTTGCTTTAAGACCCCTTAGATTTTTATACTTGACCTTGGCAATGGGGCCAGTGGTCTTAGGTACTCCAGAGTACTCAGGCCATCTACTTTTACCAATATAAAATTAGCCAGCATATAAATATAAAAATATATAAATATAAAGGCCAATATCAAAGAAGCTAGGTGTGGCCTAGGGCCAAAAATGAGTGAAAGTGAACAACAGAACAACATGTTATTTTTGTCTTGAACGTAGATGAAGTTCAGGCAAACTACCAATCAAAAAATAAAAATCATTCCTCACCATAAATAACAGAAATGGTTTTGAAATAATATCAATTGTAGTTTCTAGACAAATTACATCTTTTGAACTGGCCAGGACACTTTTATACCCAGAGGTTCCTTTTGTTTCTCTTTTTAATGATGTGGGAGAATGAAAGAAGGAAAGTGAGCTGGCAACAAACCCTGAAGCCGCCACAGAGAAACGTGGACAAAGTAGATTGGTGGGTGGCCCTTTGAGCTTTTGGAAAATGATCTCTGGGATGCCAAAGACACTGAACTGAAATAGAGTAATGAGTCTGTCCTACCAAGGAGGCCTGTGCACAGAGTGCTGCCTTTACTTTTGGAAAAACCATTCCTGCATGGTGTGTAAAGGCAGTATAGTACAGTTAGTTGACCCCAGTGCAGGCTCTGCAACCCAACTGCCTGGGCTAAGACCCCAGTTCAGGGGCTTATGGCCAGCTCACTTTGGGCAGGAAACTTCATCTTCCTGTACTTCCATTTCCTTATCTCTAAAATGGGCACTAAGAATGACGCCTTCCCTGTGTGGTGATTTTTAGGATGAGAAAAGATAGTGCAGATTAGAAACTTAAAATAGGGACCAGCACATAGTAAAGGCCTAGTTGATGGTAGCTAGTGTCACTCATGGAAAAACTCAGGCCCAAATGAAATAACATGGCTGTACCATGAAGTCAGTGCCAGTGAAAGGATCAAAGTCAGATAGCTTCACTTCTCAGTGGGTATTTTGTCCTCTGAGAAGTCTCTGATCCATGTTTTCTTCTCTCTCTCTCTCTCTCTGAAGTTCTGCCTCACAAATGCTAAGCAAGTGCTCTACCAGTGAGCCCACATCCATATCTTCCTATGTTGCTTGTGCTATGCTTTGTTGGGCTTTAGACTTTAAAATATTATCATATATGTGACAACCCTACAGCCAGCCTCCTTGCTCAATTCCCTGTCTCTCCCACATACTCCAGAGATGACAGGACCAAGGCCTATGCCACATCATTCTCTTCAATATAATTTTTGATCCAATGGAAAACAGTCATGGAAACAGTGCTGTTTCCCAAAGGTCTTCTGGGAATGATTCTGAGAATAAGTGAAGAAAAAGACCTCCCTCCAACTTGCACGGAAGACCCACTTGTGCTGGGGGGAGAAGCAAGGTGTCAGAGTTGACTTTTTCCTCCTGTTCTCCTTCATTCAATTTGTGCCATGTACATGCAAAGCTCTGCAGCCCTCTTGTTTGCATTGCCATATAAAGGGAGAGCAGGGATGCCTGATGGACAGAAACACACTCATTGGCTCACAGGTCTCAGTCATTTCACCTGTAGCCTGCTCCTCCTGATCAACCAAGGTGATTGATGGCTGCCAGGGTGACTGGGCACACCCAGTGATCCAGTCTCACTTCACTTCATCCTGTTCTAAGTCTTAATCAATTGTTGGAAATTTTCCAAGTAGTGGAAAAAATGTCTATTCAATATGTTTCTATTTCTTTGCTTTGTGACAACTGCATAGATTTTTAAATAGAAGGTTTTCGGACATTTATAGCATGCATGGGTGTGATTCCATGTGTGAGGGCTGTGGTGCTACCAGTAGTCCTACTGCAGGTACATATATGGTCCTGTGGATCTGTGCCTGCACCAGAGGGGCAGTCCTATCTCTCTGCCTGAGGTAAATGGTTAAATGTGAATAACTGGTCCTAGGTTTCAGGGTTAGAAGTGTGAGCACTGGCATTAGTGGGCAAGTCTGGTGGTGACATACACTTGACATGCATAGGTCAAAAGCCTATGAATTTAACCATCCTGAAAGAAATTTGGAGAAGCCAAGGTGCAGCCATTAGCCTGGGAACCCACGGCTTCCAATCTGCCATTGGTCAATAGCAGCACAAGAATAGCCCCCAGGGTCAAAGTGCAGGCCTGTATAAATAGTCTCTGAGTTGTTCAGAACTTTCATTCACCCTTGCTTTGGTTCATCATAGGGAAAATAGCCATGGAGGTTTTAACAATAGCACTCCACATCAGATTGTATGTGAAGGTTGGGGACCATAGGGGCAAAGGAGGGGACCAAAAAAGAGGTTCCCCCATCCAGAGAGTAAACCTGCATAGTGTGTCCACCCAGCAGTGCTGATCTGCATCATGCACCCTAGGAATGTCATTTCAAAAGTTGTGTCCACAAATCCGATGACTGGCTTAGTCACCTGAAATCGGATGCCTTGTTCATTCTATTCTAACAAAGGGGTTCTGAAGACAGTAAGAGCATAATTTCGACAGCAATGTCAAAATAATAAATGTAAACAAGCAACCTTGCATCTTGTGGGATCCTTTCCTGCCTGGCTCTCTGCAAGTGTGACTTTAAGCAAAACACTAGACAATGTGAATCTCTGCTTTATATCTGATTGCTATAGAAACAGCGATGACAGAACTTGTGTAGTCTTTTTGTTTTTTTTTTAAACTAGTACCTCCTCTCACCTAACACAAAGACCTGGGCACTATTTACATTCCCTTTAGCATTTTCATTCTGATAAACAGTTCTCCAGATCAATTACAGATTCATTTATTTTAATTGTGGTACTACCTCTGGGTGGCAAGAGTCCGCACTACTGTTGACAGCAGCTGCCCGTCCTTGGCTGAAACTTGCATGACATACTGTGGCTGCCCATTCACTAGGCTGCCACAATCCTCCACAGTCTTCACCACGGGTGCAGCCGAGCTGGTGCAGTCTGGCAGGACTTCAGGCAGGTGACTGCAGCGGCTGGTTGTCATGGCAACAGACAGCAATTACTCTGCTAATGGCTTCCACATTCATAGAGGATTTCCATCTAAGAGAGATCAGAAAACAGTTTACTTGGGCAGGGTGGTTAATAGAAAATGGAGAATTATGGGCCACCAACATCATCATGTCATTATTTAATATAAATAACAGGGCATCCCAGATGTGGCACTTATCTTATTACCCTTTAATACAAGTGTGCATGCATGTGCATACATGTACACACACACAGCCCACAAGTGGATTTGGTTATAAACAAGACAAAAAGCAAGGTGGTGTATACAAACATTCAGCAACCCTGTTTTCCACGAAGTGACAGATGATGGCTCTGAAGCCCAGATTTGAAGAGAAGATAGCAATTCTTTCGCTCTACCAGAGAAGCAATAAAGTCTTTGTTGACACTCTCTAAAAGTTGCTAGAATCATTATTAAAACTGTGTGCAACTATTTTTTCTTGTAAGCAATTTATCTCCAGGCAGCTTCATTCTAAGATACTAGGGTTAAAAATAGAGAAAGAAAAAAAGGAAAAAGCAAATTTGGCTAAGTAGCACATCTAGAACACTGCTTGTCAAACATAAATCATTCAATTATTGTATCACCTTTCTGACTTTTGTCAAATCCATGTCCCATAATTCAATATCTACTTAAAATTAAAACTTGAAAATTAACTTCATTTAAAAATTTAATCTCTTAAGGTTACTCATGATATGATTTGCTTATTTTATATTTTTTCAAATGGATGTTAAAATAAATGCATTAGCATTGATTTTTGTTTGTGTACTTCCTAAAATTGAGGGGTACATGCATCATTATAAGAAAGTACATGGAAGAACATAAAAAGGTGATGAATGAGCTCTTATCACCAATTATAAATAATCTATTTTTAATAAGGGCTTTACCTCCCCAGTAGACTCTCTCATATAAACTATAAGGAATTCTGTTCCTGAACTGTGTGGTGCAGGGCATGGGTCATGACCTCAAGTTCAAAGTGTTAAGACCCCCGGGGTGAGGAATCCCCCTGCATTCAATAATAGGTCAGCATGTGATGTATAAGAAATGGGGGCTTCCGAAGAAGCTTGCTGATGGAATTGTGTCCAAAGGTGAGATGACACAATGTCAGGGCTATGCATGCCCTTTCTGCCAGCCTGCTCACCTCATGCTCCACATGGCCTGGGCTCAGTAACAGTGGCAGGATTGGTTGATGGACTGAGTCAATAACTAGCCTATGTGGTCAAAGCCCTGAATCTAACTAACTAAAAATCTTGTCTTCCACCACTCCCTAGCCCCAAGGGGATATCTGGAATTCCTCCATGGGTAGTTTCCTCCCAGATATCTGTCTCTACTTATTACATTTTATTTGATTCCTACAGGTCCAGAAAACAGGATCTCTCCAACTTCCAGAACAATATGCATCAACTAGATGTTCTCAGGGCGATGAACTTGAGTGGACAGTTTCCCTCCCAACAAGCACATGTCAGGCAGGCTGGACTTCTGGAGATGACTGGATATGAACATAAACCTCCTGCTGCTGCTGAGGTATCTGGCCAGCATCGCTCTAGCAGCTTCCTTTTCAGGTCCTCCCTGCTGCCAGAGTCCTTTCAGGGTGGGTGTTTGCCCCAGCCCAGCAGCCTTTGGAACTGGCAAAAAAGTGGGGAGAGAACTGTAGCTACTGGTCTTGGTTGAGGCCTGTTGCAGGGGCACAGGCAAGGTCACCCTGCCCGTGACATTTTTACAAACCCAATACTGAACACCCAGAGAAATACAATCAGTTAGCTGGGATAGAGTAGGGTTTTGCTTTTTAAATAAGATTTATTGCTTTATATTACATTGCAAATTCAAGAAGTATGCAATATAGAAAATACAGAAAAGCACAAAGAAAACAATAAAAAATTCACCCATAATCCCATCATTTGGATAAACAGTACCTTTTTTGGGTGGATGTCTTTTTATATTTTTGGCAGAATCGGAAGGGTGAACTTTATTTGTAGTTGGGGTCAGAGAGTCTTTTTTTTTTTTTTTTTAATGAACTATGGTAGCTCTCAGGCCAACAAACAAAAGGATGTTAAAAGATGGCACTCTTCTAAAACCCTGAATAATTCTCCTCCTCCAGCCTACCCTGACAAAACGCCATTGACATGATTTTAAATTCTCAAAATGCCTCACAGTCACAAAGTGTAGCTTCCTGGCACAGCTCTCTTGCTGCACAAGGCAGCCATAGATTAAGAGCCAGAGAGTGTTGGCAGGAAAAGCAGACACAGTGACCTTCTTGCCGAATGGAATCACTATGTCTGGGCGCATTCTGAGAGGCTATATTCAGGTTTTGCATATCTCAGGCTCAGAGGGCCAAGTGGTCCCTCCCTATTCCCAGTGGAACTAGAAGTGGGTAGAGGGGGTGCCCAGTGTGTCAGTGGGACCCAGGGCTGTCAGCAGTCAGGCTACCCTAATCATATACATTCATTCACCTGTAACTTAGATTAAGTCCTCTCAAAGAAAGTAGTTTTAAATGTGTGGTCAAAATTCACAATAAAATGCCCTTTAAATATTCCAGAGGCAGAGTTTCTCTTAAGCTAATTTTATATCTGTAATGTCACTTATGTATGCTATATTTCATTTCACTTCTCAAGAGAGGCAAAAGGGATATTATTAGCTACTGATCAGTTTATTCCATTTGTGGTGGGTACCAGGCACTGAGTTCAGCATTAAGGGACATAGGACATCACTATCTTGCCTTCTCTTCCAAGAAAACCCCACCTCTTCTGTGCTGTGTCTGCAATTCTGCACCCAAGATCCTCTAAGTCTTCACTCAACTAAGGGTCTAACCAAAGTGATATTCCAGTTCAGCACTCCCTGAAGAACTTGCCAGCGTGTCTGCTGTATACCACACACCAGAGTAACCTTGAGATACAAAGGCTGGCGTGCCAGCAATGAGTCCCAACAGTCCTAAAAGACCATGCTTTGAATTTATTATTTTTTTTTAAAATTTTTTGTTTTAGAGAGAATTTTAATATTTATTTTTTAGTTTTCGGCAGACACAACATCTTTGTTTGTATGTGGTGCTGAGGATCAAACCCGGGCCGCACACATGCCAGGCGAGTGCGCTACTGCTTGAGCCATATCCCCAGCCCCCATGCTTTGAATTTAAAATACATGGGAGGGATCACATAGAACTTGACACACTTGGTAACAGTGAGAATGGGCGAGCTGATTCTAATCCCAGGAGAACAGATTTAGTCATCTACTCAGGTGGAGTCAGAGGGAAGGGAACACTTTGTGCTGTGATCTCAGTGAAAGGGAAGCCCAGAGACTGAGATGCAGGCAAGGGGCAGGCAGGAGTGGGCCTGCAGGCTGCATGCACCAATTGGCATGCATATGTTGCACCTGGGGCAGTGACAAATGGGCCACTACATATTCCTGTCTCATTCAGAGCCACCTGGGAAAACAGCAGGCTGTTGCCTTGGATGCTAAAAAGAGCTGAGCTATCAGTTTGCAGTCTAGCACTGGTCTTCATTGAGTTTTCTGCAAAATTTCAAGTACCTTCGACTGCTTTCTTATCAATACTAGTGTACTACTGCTCTTGTGGGAAAGCAGCCTCCTAGTTCACTCAAGAATACTTCTCTCTGGGATTCCTCAGTATAAAAAAAGAGTGCTGGGAGAAAGTAGTATATGTATAAACTTAAAACCTCAAACCACACTGGCAGGACAGGTCCTTTGTTGGCCAAGTTGACACCTTGTACAATTTCTTTCTCAGACTGAGAATAAAACATGATTTGGCATTGGCCAAACTCAACTGCACAACAGTGGGAAATGTGGGAGTAGGTGGATGAGAGTGAGACAGTGAAAACAGAGGAAGTAGCTAAACAAATGAAAGCCTGAACAGAGGATTGTTAAAGACTTGTCTGTTAAACTGTGACCCCTCAAAAAACTGAGTACAGGCTTCACAAAAGGAAGAGACTAACTAGGCTGCAGCTAATAATTGCCTAGTTTCTGGAACAGGCTGCCACTGGTGATTTCCATGGGAATGTAGCTGGCATCATGAGGACATGTTGGCAAGGGAAAGAAAGCACTTGAGAAAGCATGCCCTGCTAACCTCTGCAGACCCTGGGCCTCAGCAACCTTGAACTTCCATGATGATCATGAAGTTAAGGGAAAAGCTCTGCTTTTAGAGGCATAACCCCCAAACCTTTACCCTGGTTCACTACTCACCAGGGTAAGTCACTCTGCTTCTCAGACTTTTCTGAGCCATCCCACCTGGTTGCTTGTAAAGCCTAAAACAATATGTATTAGTCAGTTTTCCATTGCTATGTCAAAATAACTTATAAAGAGGTAACTTGCATATGCTAGGCAAGTGCTCTACCACTGAGATGTATTCCCAGCCCTTTTTAAATTTTGAGATAGGTTCTTGCTAAGATGCCATGTATTTTTAGTAGCTTTTTTTTTTTTTGCTGCGACCAAAAGACCTGACAACAACAATTTAAAGGAGGAAAAGTTTATTTGGTGGCTCATGGTTTCAGAGGTCTCTGTCCATAGTCAGCTGACTTCATTCCTCAGGGCTTAAGGTAAGGCTGAACATCATGGTGGAAGAGTGTGGTGGAGGGAAGCAGCTCACATGATGATCAGATAGCAGAAAGAGACTTCACTCACCCAAAGGCATGCCCACAATGCCTACCTTCTCCAGCCACACCCTACCCATCTTCAGTTACCATTCAGTTAGAATCAGGGGATTAATTCACTGATTGGGTTAAGGCTCTCATAACTCAATCATCTCTCCTCTATGCCTTCTTGTATTGTCTCACACATGAGCTTTTGAGGGATACCTCATATCCAAACCATAACACCCAGAATGGCCTTGAACTTTTGATCCTTCTGCCTTAGATTTCTGTAGGCTCTACTACCTCAACATCATTGCCATCCTGAGGACCAAGTTTCCAACACATGATTCCTTGGGGAACAAACACATCCAAATCACAGCATAAGATAATATGTGTGAACATGCTTTGTAACTTGGAATGTGCTATGATTTTATACTATATTAATTGAGATTCCTGCTCTT